TCGAACCAAAGGACAGAGCGGGCCAGGGTAACCAGCAAGGGAGCAAAGAGAGACTCCAGAGTTCCCGGGTATTATCTACGCGGTCAAGAAGAGAAGAGAGGCCCTTCATGTTCGCGGCCGCGAAATAACGTCAGTGGTTTGTGGTTTTTCATACGTGCAAGAAGTCACAATGGTTTATCCCGAAGCGATTCCTCTACGTAGCGCAGGACCAAATGCCTCTCCCTCTTCCTTTCTCTCCCTTTCCTTTCATTCTCTCTCTCTCTCTCTCTTTCTCGAAGAGAAGAGAGCTTCGTGGACGAGACGATGGAAGAAAAGTAAGAAGAAGACGAACAAGAAGAAGAGGTGGCTTTTGTTCCCACCTCGAGCTCGACGTGGTCTGCCACTTTTTCACGTTTCCTCTCGCCCGCCTCATCCTTTCTATGCCTTTCTCTTTGTTTCACCTTCTTCCCCGCCCTCATCTCTCCCTTTCACCACTTCCTCGGCTCTAGGTATATCCTCTTCCACGGCTGATGCCCTTTGTCTCGAGAAAACGCGATTAGAAACCCTCGCAGTGCAATTTTGAGGCTGTTCCCGCTTCCGTCATAATGGCGCGTCTATTAGTCCCTTGAACAGCGAGGGATGATTTTAACGAATTCTTTGCTGCTGTTTTCTTTGTACTCTTTCCGGCTTTCTTGTCATAATCTTAGGGTTAATTTTACTTGAAATGAAAAACATCTGTTATTTGATGCCTATTTCATGAGGATAGTGCCAAATGTTAGATTTAATACCTACCCACAATACATACATATGTATTTAAATATTTCCATGTTTTAATATTTATTCATAAAAATTTTTAATAATTTTTGCCAATTTCGTAAAGAAATTAAAATAAATAATCATGTAATAAAATTGAAAGATAATCGTATATTTTTTTATTACAGCATTTTCCATCATATATGTGCGTACAATTGCAAAATTAAATACATGACGCATCTAACGCGTTGAAGACAGGCAGCTCATTCTTCTTAGAATGGCGGGCTTTATTAGCTGTCGCAAACAATGAAAACGAAAAAGAGTCGATAATCACGCGCGGAATCTACCGGGATCGGGTCCTGATGAGTCGACAGAGAAAAGAGGATCCTAAGGAAACGACAGTCGGAAACAGAGGCTGATACTTTGTGGTCCATAAATAAGTTACTGGCCGATGGCAGCAGTACGCGGATACCACAGTCAGCGGCGCGGGCTTAATCGCGTTTGTATTTTGAGCGACAGCCAATATTTAACTCTGGCAATGGCAATCTATACAACGACAACGGCAATGACTAGAACGCGGCGAAGAGATTACTGGAGGGCTGCTAAGTCGCGTGTTCCATGACGGAAGGCGAAACTAAAATTGTGTGAACGTGTGATCCCTCCGACTATTCGATAGGGAAAAGCTTACATGGTGCCTTCGACAAAATAACCGTAGACGGCGAGAGCTGTGGTTCTTGGAAACCTGATTGAGAAGACCTGGACAACGATAGGTTAAGAAAGTGACGAAGCCATGCCTCAATAGCGTGGCGCATGTTCTAAATTCCAGAAACATTACGCTTCCTTCGTTCTATCGAATGTGTTTTTCATAGATATCTCTCTGATTTAAGAAGTTTGTAGAACGAAATGAGGAAGATATGTCATGTCCAAGAGAAAGAAACAAAAGAGCTAACTATACTCGTTAGAAGATCATGATCGTTAGTTTGAGATAATCGAAATATAAGCAGCGATAACAAGGATACGATTACTTAACTTAATGATGATAATATCGTTATAATTGAAGAGTCACGAGAGTGCACAGCATCAATAATTGTTATCATGATTTATAACTTTCTCCGACTTCTATATACATCGCGATTTCGAAACTGAACGAATGCTTCCACAGGAGCCTTGGATAATCGCTGAGAAAATTCAATCAGGACTTAAGAATGATATTCACGCTATCGTCCATTTATAGTCAAGTATTCACTCGACTAAATGATTATCACCTTAGCAATAGCTAATTAGACCGTCATTTTTTGCATTTCCTAATTCGAAAAAGCACAGATGTGGAACTCTACACGGAGAGAATTTTCTTTTAAAATTTATCCCAAAAATATGGTAGGTGTGACACTACAATATAATATTTTAAAAATTTTTACCATGCACTTCAGTAACATTGATCAAACTTATTTTACAATTTATTGTAATTTTATTAATGAAGAAATTTACATTAAAAAATTCCTCGAAATACAATATTGTTCCACGACTATCGTATTTTTAGGGTAAATTCTAAGAAAAAATTCTCTTCGTGTATACGATAAATATAATTTCTAATTACAATAAAAAGAAATACGCAAAAAAACGAGAAGAAATTTTAGCTAAATGAATTATCATGAAATTCTGTCAAATAAATTGATTAGAATGATTAATAAGTAAATTACTCAAGTAGGAAGATAAATTATCAATTAATAATGAATATATTGTAAAAAGAAATATTCAAAACTTGTCCATATCAATTGTACGAAGATGTTAATTCCGTATACAATGTACAAAAACGGACAGTCGGCAGGAATATTTTTTTCGGAGTAATAATTACATTTCTCGCTAATCATAGATTCCGAAAATGGATTTCTGCGGCGACGCTAGATGATTCGTTTTGGCGACGCGAAACAATGTTTGCTTCCTGGTGACTACGAAAGAACGGTAATCGCATTAGCGGTCGCGACCGGAGTAGCGCGTCCGCAAAGCATCTTTCGCCATTACTTCGACTTATACCGTAACAAATCCGTTCCGCGGGATCGGTTCTGTCACCAAATCATGCCGATTTTGTTACGCTACTCCAAGCCGAGAGTCGAACAACTGGCTAACAACCGCGTGCAATCGCCCCGAGATAATGCGCGGCGCCAAAAAAGCTTATTAATATCCTGACTGGCAAAAATAGCGTTTTAACCGAATGATTCGCGACGGATCGTGCGTTTTCGAGAACACAAGTCAAGCTATATGAGAGTTAATTATGCTCGATATTTTTTGCTGGATTTCCTGAGTGGTGAGTATCGATTTCTGTATCGGTATCTCGCCGTTAGCTGTATTAAGTAGAAATTGAGATACATGAGAGTACGACGACGATAGCCAACCTCGAGAACTGAGATTCAAAAATTAATCGCTTGACAATTAGCGATATTTTCGTTAGCTCGAATCCCGAATAGGAAAAAAATCCGCGGGTTATTCCTTAATTAGAAGACACCGACGAATAACGCGAGGCGATTGAACGAGATAAAGCTGCTGGAAGTTGCGGGAGCTAAGTGGCCCCTATTCCGCTACCGACAGCTCCCAAGGGTTCCTAATTGTCAAGATCGAGCACCATAATTACACCCTTCGCGATTCGTTCTCGTGTCTTGGAGCTTCTCCCCGTTAACAAAACAAAACTGGACGAATTCTCCGTGTGGCAAAACGATGCCAAGAAGCAACGTCAAGCAGGTAGGCTACCATAGTACGAAAATTAAGAGGTCTGGCTTGATAAGGAATGATAAAAAACCACTTTCCGCGAGGAAATCTATAACCCTTCTCGTGTGTTTCTCCTTGTTATGTTACAAATATGTGAAGAATCCATTAGAGACCAAACTATATAGTAAAATAAATACTATCATTTACGATTTAATCGTAAAATGACAAAGACTCAGAATATGAAGCCAAAATAAACAATTAAATTTAAAATAATTAAATTTAAAAAAAATAATAATATTCAAAGCTATATAATATTCGATAAATAAAAATAAAAAAAATACAATGTCATAAGTCCTAGTCAAAAGAGAATAAACATTACAATACCAATATAAAATTCCAAAAGAATTAATAAAAGAGTAAAATATATAAGAATCTTAATTATTTATTTTAATTTTGCATGCAATCGATCCAAAACTCTATTTAAAAGCAAAGTATTTAAATTTCACAGCACTGGAATTTTGCGTGATTTGACAGTGGCAGAATCATATTACGTAGTGAGTTTTATTGTTAGAGAAATATGTACAACTTCCGAGAAATTAAGCGCTCGACAAATATAACATATAGAACATTTCATTACCGTATTTTTAATTATCAGTTAATTACCGGATATTTACCATGTTGATATCTTTCTACATTTCTTTTCTTTAAAATTAAAAATATAATTTTAACATAAAATAAATACAGTATACAGGGGAGATGAAATATATAAATATATATTTATTATGTAAATTAGATATGCGTCATTAGACTAATTGTTTCATCATGAGTAAAGCTGTAATTAGATTGGCAAGAATTTTAATTGCTTTTCTATTATATAATGACACTTCCATGGCACGCACTTTCTTGTCCATGCTCGTATTTGTTTTTCGTCTGTCATTCGAGATGTCGATAAAGTAATGGAGTACGAATTCCAAAGCTGCCGCGTGACGCCTACTCGCGGCCGCGTGTTTCATAACTTTCCTCAAACTGCTATAGCGATTTACATCCTGTTACACTATAACTCGTTATGATTTCGTCAACCAGCTACCGGTGCAACTGACGATAGCTTGAACGAGGCGCATTATGTTCACGAATCAATCTCGATCGCGTCAGAACATTTCAAGTTTTCTCAAATAACACTTAAAAAATGTTCAACTACAACGAACACGAACACACTGACGCATAGCTAATTCATTACGATTAAAATAGCATTATCTATCGAAAACAGTTGTGTTGTCACAATTCCCTAATAAAAGTCATTAAAAATTCATTAAAGTTTCAAATGATTAAGTCGATAATAAAAAATTAATGATGATAAATTGAAATTAACCGCGGGCGTTCATGGTCAAATGATTTGAAGAGAATTTAAAGAGAAATCTAATTAAATAGATTGGACAGACAATTTTTCCCGGAATCTATTTTTATCAAGAAATCGTCACATGATACCGTTGTGTCTAACAAAGTCAATTTGCTCATTATTATTATCAATTATTTTAATTGTGCCATCGTTCGAGTGTTCGACTCACCAGTATAACACCAGGCCGGCCAGACGACAGGGCTCTCGGTGTCCAACTCCCTCATTCTCTCAGTGACCCGCGAACATCTCCACTCCGTTCTTTCCGACGTGGCGGTAAGAATGTCCAGTTTGGCTACTAGCGGCAACCTCCAACCAAATGAAGAATCTCCGGTTCTGCCTGTCGAAAGTCACAGGAGAAACCTCGTTTCAATAATCTTCAGATATAACCACCTGTTGCTTCGCAACGGAGCTCTGTGTTTCAGAGATAGGCTCGAAGATCTTGTTTCGTGGTTCGCTCAACAAAGATTCGGAGGGAGATTCTCTGCAAGAATGCAGGTCGTCTTATTTGTATTCTAAGTCGTACACATGCAACTGAAGAATTCCGAGAGACAGATAAATCTCTCGGATGAGTCTTCGCCGTCACCGCGCTCTGGTTCTGTCGTTGATAAGGCACGGAGGACGCGTCATCGACTCGGCCTGGCCTTCGTTTCACTTCCTTTTCGCCGCAGTGTCGTCTTCTCTCGCTCGTCGTGTCGTTTTCTCACAACAGTAACACGCTCCCCCGTAAGATTTCGTCCAAGATTTCGCTGTCGTAAAACAACGAGGGACACGCGTGTTACACGAAAAGGTGTCTGGCACTCGACTCGAATCGCGCACTAAATGTCACGAAAATGTCAATGAGGTGCCGCCGACGTTTGACACCTTCACCGAATGTCCCCTTCCTCAGCGCACCTTGCAACTCGTCGAATAATAACTGTCTTCGACTCGCGCGGATCACAATCGAGTCTCGATATATCACCAGACGACTCTTTCTCTTACTCTTTTCACTCGAAACGTAATCATTAAACTATTCATGCAGATATTAAAAATTGTCGGTATAATACGACACCAGGTCTTGGCAGACTTGAAAGTTGTTCTTAACGAACAAGCTCAATCACGACAGGCTTGTCTTCGATCATCGCGACAGTTTTCACCAACGTAAGATCTTGTTTCCTACTGATTGAGTCAAAACAGATTCAACAGATTTCTCGCATCCAAATATTTCAACAGATCACTCGTTCGTCGTAAACCTTCGACTATCGATGTCTGGAGAACGCGCGTTCCATTGGGAATATCACTCCCTTCACCTTCACGGTGACCGTGGGTTCACTTTCTTCACCCTACTGTAGACTGGCGATCGACCGGTCCCCAGTAATCGCAGAGTGTACTCTCGACCCGGTCGATCCTTGCCTTCAGTCCGAGAGGATCGTTGACGTACCGCGGGATGACACGACACTACAACACGGCACTGCTGCGTGAGGTGATGTCGAAGAGGATAGACGGATAGACAGAAACAGTAGGGGGAGAAAGAAAGAGAGAGAGAGAGAGAGAGACGGAGACACACAGGTAGGGGGATAGATAGGGGGGAAAAAGACAGCGGAAGAGATAGCGAGCGGGGAAAGGAAGAGAAAAAGGGGAAGAGGGAGAGAGAGAGAGAGGGAAAAAGAAAAGAAGAGAAAGAAAGAGAGGGAAGAACCTGACCACCGGACACACTACTCTGCCTTGGTAGGCACACACACACACAAGTAAGCGGAGTGGCACTTAGGTTGGTGCACCTGCCGCGAGAGTCCGCGTCGTAATGGGAGCGGGGCAACGGGCGGCAGGTAGGCAGGCCCATCGTTCGTCAACGGAGAAGGGGAGTCAGTCACATGGCGAGTGTCCCGCGAAGGAGGTGGTAGTCGGAGTCGATGGTGGTGGATGAACGAAAGTGGTGATGCTGGCGGCGGCGACGGCGGTGGCGGCGGTGGCGGCGGTGGCAGTAGTGGTGGTTGTGGTGGTGGTGATGATGATAGTGGTGGTGGCGGATCGTGGTGGAACGCAGGAGTAGGAATCAACAGAGTCCTCGGGAAGAGAGCCGACTTGGCTACCGGTGTAACCTGTCGCGACGATCAGTGTCGGCGCAGTCGATTCCATCCGGGAAAAATTCCAAATAATTTTCTTGCATCGCGAAATTATGGCGACGAGATAAATATGAAAGGGATAGGATATAAGAGTTTTAAAAGATTGCGGCGAAATGCATAGCTGATGATAGTCATTGAGGTTAAAAGAGATACACGAAAGGACGTTTATGTTAAAGCAATGAATCAAATCTGATCTGGAAATATGAGAAATCCAACGTAAACAACTTAGTTACAAATTAAAGATTCATACCTACTATTATCTACTATTTCCTCAGTAAAACTAGGAACATGAGATAAATCAGATGAAAAATTGCGGCAAAATAAGCGATTTAAAAGAAATGAAATGACTGATAATTGAAAATACTTGTAAAAGATATCATCGAATTACTTAAGAAATCATAATAGCAATCGAAAATGAAATGAGAAAAAAATCGTCCATTACTTCCCATTGTTTACAGCGAGGAAACATTTTCAGCTAACATTATTATTAGGACAGTCGCACTGTCTTTTCCGCGTGTTTACACGGAGAAAAATGTAAAATAATATGCACTAGAATTCCAGTAATTTTTATGGAATTAGACAAGTCCATGTAGGGACAGGCGTCGATTTAAAAAAAAATTTATCAGAAAAATGAAATCTTGAGAGTTATTCGTGTAATCTCGTGAATGTATGATTTACTTTATTGTAAGATAATAATTACCTGAATGGATTTATTATAATTGTACTTTTTGCCTTACCCCCGATATTTTTCAGGCAAGTAAAGTTTTGTCATAAATTCGGCAAAAATAGTCAGAATATTTTTATTAAACTTGTAAGATGTCATCCATTTTACTCTATGTAGACTACCGATTACGGTTAATCGGGATGTTCTCTGCCTGGATTCCATATTTGGATCCAGTTACGAGACTTGAACGGAAGAACAGCCATTGAATTCCAGGCGCTTCCTGAGATCATTGGTAGAACTTGACGATAGATTGTCCCACGAAGCTTCTTCCAAGCACGTCGTTCAATGTCCAGCTATCAATGCTACGTCTTTCTTCGCGTCTGTGATCGGTCGAGGCTCGTATAGCAGTCTAGGTGGACACTACGTCAAGGTGAAACAAGACGCGAACATCTCGTTTGCTTGTATCCCATAGTTCTTCGAACATCGCTCGTAAAACAATATCATCGGCTGACTCTCGGATAGCGCGATCTTATTTTCGTAACAATTCTACTGCCGTGTCTTTTCGCGATTCTCGTTGAACGTGTACTTCGAAAGAGAGTGAGAATAATTCATTATACATTTATAAATGACAATCGCTGACATACTTTCTGTATCATTTCGCAAAAATAAAATATCTAATCTAATTAAAATTTTAAATAGCATTGCGTTGAATCATGCGAAATAGAACATACGTACATATTTTCTATCTTATCAAAGTTTTCAGTTTGCGTCATGAACAATCTTATCAAAGATTGTATCTGGATTTACTGTAACCTTAATTATATTTTACGTAGAATTTTCCCAAGTATATCGCTCGTTTACACTCGTCTTATATTTCTAACAATTGACATAATATCTTATAAAGACACATTCATAAATTTCTCAGGACACTAATAGTCAGATAAATAGCTCTAATAGAAATTCTCTCGTCGTTATGGTACTTTATTCTCAAAAGTCAGATCCTATTCATCCATCTAAGTTAACAATAATTACACAGCACCCCAGGGGAATCCTATAACACCGTCAGAGCAGCAAGGAACGTATTATCCCAGAGATTATTCTGGAAGCGTCGCCTTAGGTGTCCGGACATGTTCAGAATCCTGTGCCGCAGTAGGATACCTAACGTACGAAGCCGAGATGAGAACTTGTTACGTTAACCATCATATTGTTTCGCGAGGGCGAGATGCTGCTTCGGCGGCGCAACGAGTAGTTCGCCCCGGCTTCGAGGTGTACCATCAAGGACGATATATCGCGTCCGATATATATCACTCGAGAGAGAAAGAGCACTTCCACTTCTACACACGTCAAGTTTATTATATGTGCGTATACGCATTCGTATGTACGCACTGCCCGGAGGCTGCGCTCCGAGCTTCTCGTTTAGATATCCGCTCCGCGAGATTATTCGAGAATGAACGACGCTCGTCGAAACGTCCCGATGGACGGTACATTATATTGGTATCCTATCTGCCGTGGATCGCCAGGCTTCCGCAGGTAGCGATTACCACCTCGGCCATTTTCTTTTCTAGGAAAACTATCGGCGATTAAACGGTCCATCGACCTCCTCCGCACTTCACCGTGCGCGCAACGGGATGTATTAATCGTTCAACTGGATCGATACGACTCGTCCTTGTATGTCGGACTTGTGTCCATCAACCTACTCGTTGGAATTTAATTAGTACGCTCTCGCTATGTCATTCAGCCGATTAAAGATCTCTTGCGACTGATCGTATATAATGATATAAAGCAAGTAGCATAAATGTTACAAATGATAATTTACTGCATAAATATAAATTAAAAATTAAATATCCGAATTTACATAAGTCATCAATATGTGATTTCAACTTATATTTTGGAAATTATAAAAATATATGTTTTTGCGATAATTTTCATAATTTATCTACATTATGATTAAAACGATAAAAATGTCTATACATGCTTTTGTGTAGATTATATGAATAAATCATCATCGCGTTTCCTCCTCCTTTCCGTTCATTTATAATATTAATAGTAGTAACTTTCTAGTAACAAATAGGATGTTTTATGTATATATATTTTTCATAATCGAAATCATCTCACGAATATTAAATAATCAATTGAAACGTAACAATGCGCGCTATTCTCATGACTTGTTAGAACAAATTAATATTGCAGGAAAAGCTCGCTTGCTATTTAAATCCATTTTCCTAAAAAATGAACGATAAGAAACGCGCCTCATTTCATATCGCATAAATCTTGGAATACCATATTCACGACATGTTTCTGTTACGGGCATTGCCCGAGTTGCCTACTGTACAATGGTCAACATTGCCCACTTGCGGACTTTGCATAATCCATGACGGAAAGCGTCTTTGTATTTCTGAAGCGGCGGTTTTTCCAATCGCTGCAGACACGGACTAACTAAACATGAATTCTATCTGGTTGTGGCTCATCCTCAAAGACGAAGTAACCGGTGGCGTTCATGAATACGTGTTCATTATTTATGAGCAACGCCTCTCGGCATCAACTGGACCAGCCTCTCTCTATCTACCGGTAGGCACTCGGGAGAGGAAGGCAAGCGGATAACGTATTACGTCTTCATATTTTTTTTCCTTTCGTGTACGCCCGATAATTAAAGGTGCCCCGCCAAGGACCCCAATGATTTACCGGCGATGCTACGTCGACCTGATAAGATGGGACCGATTGATAACGAGACTTCTTTTAGTATATCGTGAACCGGATCGAGTTCTAGTAGACTGAATCGTTTTTTTATAATATTTTTATAAAATTTCTCCCTGTTGGCTACCGCCCGATCAAGTCTATCATATGTCTCACGTGACACATGTGTCATGTCACGATAAAATTTTACATCGATAACAACGGATTATACATATTAAATTAAAAATTATTATATATATATATAAAGAATCATTTCGTATCAAACTAACTACTTACTCGTATTAAAATATATAATGATCGATTCGTATTTATTGCAACGATAATATTTTTAGCTTGATACTGCAACAAAGCACACATCGATCATTATATTTTAATGTGATAGGTAAATGCTTAGTTTTGTATACAAAACTGTCTGAATGATTATTATTGACAGTTGTTAATAGAACGATTACGCCTAGCCGATCGAAAGACATTGTGATCTCGAGCCAAGCATTTGCGGCATCATCGGCAGGCAGTGCCGAGAGATCTCGATGAAAAAAGAAGCAACTCGCGGTATCCCCCTTTCTCATTACGGTATGCTGGATCAAAAGTGCTCATATTTCATAGACTTGTTCTGGCGTGCGGCACGAGAACTCCGATGGCCTCCACGCTCGCGCGTATATGCAGAGAAGTTACAGTCCCGTTCAGCGGAGAAATTTACGTTCGTCAGCAAAAGGAGTATACCGCGACGAACGGAGCGAACGAGGTGGACGGCACGAAATTGGTACCCGATGATGATTTCGACGATTTAATTGAAACGTCCAACCGGCACTAAAATCTCTCCTTCTCCGGCTCCACTTTCGCGCGCCTCTCTTCTGCTACTTCCTCTCCGCACTCTCTCGTGATCATCATCATGATCTCTCTCCCGAGGAGAGCATCATTAGTGTTTTACAAACTGAGCCATAAGATGTTGCGCTGGCGTCGCGTCGGTAAACTTGCCGATGTTGTCGATGTTGATGAGTCGATGCGAAATCGACAATTAGAGAGAACGTTGCGTGTATGTAATAAATGCGTATATATATGTGTGTGTGTGTGCGCGTTATCTTAAGAAAGACGTTTCCAAAAATCCATAAAACTGAAGAGCGACTTTAACCGATATTTTACAGTAGAATATGCAAATTAGAAACGCGCGTTC